GATTGACAAATTTGCTAGGTTGTTGTTGTGAAGGAGATGATGAGAGGTTTCTTGTCGCAGAATATATGCTCAATGAAACACTTGCAAAGCACCTTTTCCATTGTAAGCGCTCCTTTCATGCATGCTTTTATCCTTTTATTATTAAACATTTAATCAGTGATTCAGTATGTCTTAAATTTATAGTTCATGGTTTGTTTGGTATTTGCTTTGCAATGGGTCAATATTGAGCTTTGTTGGTTCAGAATACATGATTAGTACCTAAGCCACCAAATTTCTAACATTTTCCTTTTGGAAGTTCCATGATATTGTCCATTTTTCTGTATTTGCTTGTCAGTTATCATTCGGGCTAGGACAACCTCAAATGACATTAGAAAGGGTGCTAGTACATTGTATTATGATTATCATCACATGACTCACTTTTTTGTGATCATTCCAATTTTCCCCCTTTTTTCTATAGAAATTACTTTTATAGATCAATTATATACTTTTGATTAGTTTGCAAGTATTCTTTTCTCTCCAAGAGAAGGTATATACATATTAAAAAGTATCATGTTTTTAGCCTTAATGTGTGTTTGGTTTAGATATCGGAAGTCCATTGATTTTATAAGACTTGGTTGAGTAAAACTTGGTATCATATTTCAGGCCTCAAAAGCTTGACACCCTTGCTGCTGTGGAAAATTTCTTTAAGATACTCTTGAGTGTTTTAAGATACTCTTCACCACTTTTTCGCCTGAGGACGACAAATGCTATATAGGTGACTGAGGTGAGACATTTTAAATTTCATCGTTATATAAATTCATCAATTAATGCCTGGATAGTGAAATTCTTAACCAACATAAGGTATATTCTTTATTTTACACTAATTTAATTTTCATCTCAAACAGAAGAAAAAACTTTATTTTGTCAGCTCCTATTTGCTTTGAGAAGTGAAGGCAGGACGAGTCGATTTGGGAATCCTTTTTTCAAATCTAGTCCTGGCCAAGATAATTTTTTTATCTGCTTTTAATTTTAAACACTTCCCAATTTCATACCTTGGTTAATTTGATTTTCCCCTGATGACTATTTTAATTGTTGCGGGAAATCCTTGCTTGATCAAAATGCTAAAGCATCACATAAATTATTTTATGACAGCACAAACCGGTGGTAATTTCCACCTTTAAGATCAACAGGGAAACTGTTGAAAGTTTGTTAGTATTGTTTCACAGAAAACTGTCCTTTTCTAGGATTTTTAGTTTTGAGCTTTATGCCTCTCTTCTTTTTCAACTATAAGAAAAAAAATCTGATTTTTAATATTGTAGAAAGCTGAGGAAGAAAAGTTGGAGAAGCTTGCTCGAAAGGTATGCCCTCAAATTTCACTCTCCCCCCCCCAACAATTTTTTACTGTGGAACTACAATTCATTGTTGTCGTGTGCATTTTTTTTGTTATGTTAGTGCAGATCCGCTGCAACATGTAAGATTAATACATCTAATATTAAATACTGTGAAACTTTGGCCGTTTATTGAAATTTAACTTCGTTATCTTAACCTCCAAAGTTCCTTCATGTGTTATGAATCTATTTAAGAGCAATTTTTGTGCTTGTAAAGGAGAAAAAGGTTCCCAATGATGCTCTTTCTTTACCATGCTAATGTTGACAACAGATGATTAATACTTTTAGTTTATTATACTGAGGGAACTTTTTCTCAATTTCTTTGTTATATCTCATTTTCAATGTTGAAGTCTCATCACGTTTTTGGAGATGCCTTATGTTAGTTTCAGGAGCATTTGTTTTCAATGTAGTAATACTTATGCGCTTGTTAATTACCCACCATGTTGAATTGGATTTTTATTGATATTTTGTTGGTTCATTGACTCATAATTCTGCATTTAGTTTTCTGATTTCTCAGTATTCAGTCATTTTTAGAGTTTCGGAAATAAAAAGGGTTAAAAAGGAAGTCCAAAGATTTGATTACTAGACATATTATCTTCTCCATAATTTCTTTACACCTAATATTTTATTCCTTACTTCAGTTATGGATGATGAAGTTGAATCTGAAACTCGACTTGAAGTGTCTGAAAGTTTTAGGATAAATAGAAAAGAAATCTCTAGTGTTTGGAAGTACTTTACGAAGATTGATACAGACAAGGATGGTTTTGAAAAGGCTGCATGTAATTATTGTGCTGCTGAATATGTAGTTGGTAGGCATCCTAAGACCGGAAGTAGCTATGGAACTTCACATTTGGGTCGTCATATTCTTGGTTGTAAGATTAATAAGCTTTATGAAGAATATGCAAGCAATCTCCAAGGATCAAGTTCTTCTCATTCTCTTTCATCCAATAAATCCAGTATCTTGCACAAGTCAAATGGAGAAGGGAGTAGGTCCAAAAAATCAAAATTATACATCAAGGTAAGAAGTTCTTTTATGCTAATTTAATATTTTCTTTATTATTATTTCATTTAGATAATTGATATATTATATTTTGTAGGAGTTTGAAATGTTTGAGAGCGAGAGCATGTATACTGCTGGTAAGAGTGAATTAGATCTTTATTTGGATGAACCAAAAGTTAAATTTGGTCAAGGTGAAGATTTTGATGTGCTTAACTATTTGAAGATAAATGAAAGTAGATTTCCGACACTTAGTATTATGGCACGAGATGTGCTAAGTATCCCGATTACTACAGTGGCATCAGAATCTGCTTTTAGTATTGGTGGACGTGTTCTTAACAAGTATAGAAGTTCAACTCTTCCTGAAAATCTTCAAATGTTGATTTGCACTAGGAATTGGTTGCATGGCTTTGCTCTCAATCATAATGGTAACGCTTTGCGTTAATTTTCATTGTCTTTTATACATAAATGTAATATTGATTGGTTATGTTGGAATTGATTGTCTAATTAAGTGATTGCATTTCAATTGATTGTGAGTTTTAGATGAAGATGATTGTAAAATTACTCATCGTGAAGCACTAACATCAGAATCCCAAGGGGCATCAAGAACTTCAAATTAAAGACTAGCGAGGTACGAAGAGTTGGTATTATGAAAATTTGAATCCTCCATCTTTAGCTTTGCTGGTACTTTAGCTTTGCTGCTTGTTAACAAATGCACTATGCTTTATTCAGATAAAAAAATGTACTAAATGGCGACAGTACTCTTGATAGTTTTACCTTTTACCTTTCATGGAAACAGAGATAGTTTTCTTTGTCTCCAAAGTTGAGCCTTTTTGCTTGTCAACTTTTTTTAATCAAAACCTTCCTTTGTTTCCCAAAATCAGGTTCAGGTGGATTTATCTTTTTCCCAAAATCAGGTTCAGGTGGAGCTGATTTGGTAAAGCCAGCTGTGGTTTGATAAATATTGTTCGACTCTTTGCATCGAAGTTGGCAACTAAATGGCACAAGTGTTGTTTATCACTTTATCTGTGGAAAAAAGTTTGGAAATTATTGCAGTTCATTTGGTTCTGTAGCAAACAAAGTTTGAAGGAAAGCCATGATCTATTTATTTTTGACACAGCTATATCCATATTTTAGCTTAGTGGAGAAACAGAAACTATCGGTTTTGATATGATTGAACATGGTTTTTGGCATTGGAATTATTAAAGCGGTTTGAAATTTCAACTTGAATTGAAATGAAATCCGATCGGATCATATAACATGCAAAATATCATTACAATTGATTACGTAAAGACCAATACAAAAAAAAAAGTGCAGAATATTTTTTAATGTGGCCCGCGGGTTGGCCCTAACCCGTTGGGTTATATGATTTTTTGGCCCGCGCGGGCTAGTTAATATGTGGGCTGTTTGGCCCTGTGAGCTTTTTAGTCCTGGCCCGCGCAGGCTAGGGCCTAACGGGCCGGGGTGGCCCGTTTTGACAGCTCTACCTGGGATTGAATGAATGTTCAAGGTAGAGATAAGGGAACCCTCTATGTGCAAAATCTATCACCTCTATCTCTAACCCTATTCTAGCCTTTTTGTAGAGGCTCGGTAGTCGTTAACGGATGGTGGAACAACCCAGTTCGAGAAACCTGCATGTGGTGATCGTGGATGGAGTAATGGTGTCGAAGGAATTGTGGGTGACAGACCAACGACGCAGGCTGGAAGACTTGCGGGTAAATATAGAACGGATTCCGTTGTGATCACAGGGCTTCCGTGGTCGTTGGGCTTCCAATCTCGTTGGCTCCTTAACCGGTTGTAGTCAGGAGAACCTATCCCGAAACAAACCCATTGATTAAAAATCAACTAACTTAATTCGAATTGTTTTTTCTTACACATTAGATTGGTTGGTTGAAAGAAATAAACACCCATAAGTTCAAAGTATACCATGAGAGAGAAGATGACCAAGTATCCTTTTTGCCTTTTAATATCTCACTGTCATTTTTATTTTATTTTCTTAAAATTATTTAAGAAAATTGAAAATTGAATGCAAAAACGTTTGAATGCATAACGTAGTATTGACTCACCAATTGTCATTTCTCTTCTCGTAAGACGTGAGCAGATTCAACAATCCAAATTTCTGATGTAGCGTAACCAGTTCAACTCAATTGTAGTATCTCGAGTGAACTTGAATCGCCCCAAACTGCCTTTGTGTTTCAAATGTCTTGTCAGTAAAATCATTATTGAAAAAAAGTTCCCCAATGCGATTTTGGGTTCACAAGTGATTCGTCTTTCTAGGAAGAATATTATTGGGTTATCTACAACTAAACCGGCCACGCTCCAACGATGAAATTACATCAGGGTGTATATGAAGAAGTACAATGCCAAGAAGGTACGATCTATCGTCCACATTTGATAACTAATAATAAATGAGCAGAAACAAAATTACAGAATCCTACTGGTATAACTCAAGAACAAAGATCAATTCAGCTTAATTATAATAATAAAAAAAAAGAGTAAACATAAAATTACGCTTATCTTTACATGCCGGCATAATTAAAGAATAAAGATGAATTCAACCATCAGCACACGAGACATCTTTTCACCAATAATGACAATTATGAAATCAAAAGTTTCATTATCATTTTATTCCAGAAATAAGACAATTTAGAACAATATATATGATATATTCTAAAATCATAAACAATGAAATTCCATGTGACAGTTACTTGAGCCCGCCACTCTAATAAATCATGCCTTTGATGACAAATTTTCATCCGAAATCTAAAATCGTTTTGGGATAAAATCCCAATGAGTAAATTTATTAAACAAAATTTGCTGCAGCAATTAGTCTAATGCTCGAAACTCTAATTTTCATCGACATCTTAACCAATAATATTATAAGATGCTAAAAAAATTAACCGCCTCCAGATCCATACTTCTTGCCGAACACAATCACCTGTAACTTGTCGTAACCAGCAAGCACACCAGCACCAGCAACTGCACGGAGGATGTTAGCACCAGCCCCCTTAAACAAGGACTTGGCACCCTCGTTCTTGAGGATTTGTGAGAATGCATCCATGGAGCTCTTGTACTTGACAGCTTCCCCAGATGTCATCATCATTCTTCTTCTAACGGTGTCAATTGGGTATGATGCTAAACCTGCACCATTGGTGATGAGCCATCCAAGGGCAAAGCTGGCGAAAAAGCTATCCTGCAATGATTAGGAAATGCCAATAGTTTTCAGCAAATGATAAAAATAATCTGAAGAACCTTGAATCCTTCGACTTGAAAAAACAGGCATTAACATGATTAAATACACACATTTACTTATAAGGATTTGGTCAAACTGATTATCACAGATACAGGAGGCAAAAGACCAACCTGCATTTTTCCAGTTAGGAGAACTGGTTTCAGGGAATCATACATTCCAAAGTAGAGACCACGATACACAATGATTCCAACACAGGAGATGTTAAAACCACGGTAAAGACCAGCAATACCATCAGATGCCAAGGTCTTCCTGTAGACATCAACAAGACCATTGAATTGCCTTTCCCCACCTTTCTTTGCAGCCTTTGAATCGTTAGCAAGACGAGTACGGGCATAGTCAAGAGAGTAAACAAATAAAAGGGACGAGGCGCCAGCAGCACCTCCAGAGGCCAAGTTGCCAGCAAACCATTTCCAGTAACCATCCCTATCCTTCTTGAAATTGAAAAGCCTCTTGAAATAGTCCTTGAATGCAAAGTTCAAAGCCTAGTAGAATTTGAACAGCGCATTTAATATAACATAATAAACTGCAACGGTTAGAAGGAAGTAAATATCAAAAGTATTATCTCCAAAAAAAAAAAATATCAAAAGTATAAAATGACTAACCTGAGTAGGAAAATAACGGATGACATTTGCAGTATTACCCCTCCACAAGGCACCAAAACCTTCATCCTGAATTGTTCTCTTAAAACAGTCACCGATACCCTTGTAGGGCTCAGAAAGCCTACCAGTTTTGATCATCTCATCCTGATTCTGGATCAAAAGTTTAACCCGTTCAATGGGGGCAGCAGCAGTTTTAGAGACAGCAGCTGAAACACCACCCATCAGAAAGTCGACAAGAAAATTGCCTTTCTCTGCAGGAGCTGCAACAAAAATAGGGGAGGCTGTTGTTGCAGCAGCAGCAGACAAATCAGTAGTAACTCTGCATGCAGGCATCACTGGATACTGCAATGCAGCATTTGAGTAATTCCCAAATGAGCTTCTTTGGTACAGAGAAGGACGACAAAAGGATCCATCATAACTCTTAATACCAGATGAAAGACCAGAACGGAGATGGAGCTGGCCAGTAACCTTCTCCATGATTGTAGGGTGCTGAACCTGATCAACCATGGTTGCTTTCCTGAAGAATGTAAGTATCCAATGTCAAAAATAAGGTTGATAAAATTTGGAAATGTGATCATAAATAACCGCATTTAGCAATGGCATTCTCAAAATCAAAACCATAAGTATTCACCATGAAAAAAGTACAGTTTATCAAAATCATTCCATCATTGACAAATATAGCATTCAGTTTTAGTACCCCTTCATAGTCAACACAAGAAAGAGGGATATAGAAAATTTGCACAACAGAATACACCCATATAACCATGACATCCAAAAATCCTAATTAAAAAAATGGACAACTTCAATCCATCTATAGCACGTTTATCAAAACCAAAAGAGACCAGCAACCATGGTGAGAATCAGAACCAGTTAAAAACAAAAAACAAAAAGATAGTAGTATCTTGAACTATGGAGTAGACTGCAACACTCCTTCCACATACATGTCCACGTATTGAGTCCATAAATGATAAACTATAAGAGAAATTTGTCAAACACAAGTTTATATGGGTAACCAACAGTGCAAGAAACAATCGCATTTATCTGGGATTCAAATAATCAGTTATATATTATTAAAGTACTCTAGAACTAGTATATTCCGGAAATCCAAAACAAGAAGTCAACTAAAACCATATACTACCCCCCCAAAGTGCAGAATGAGGCTGTTATGTCATCCATAAACACGGCCAGTATGTAAAAATCCAAATTATGAACAACCTTTATTCATTTTTTCTTATAAAAAGAAATAAATAATAGCATAAATCTTTAATCAACCTTGAACGAGTATTAAAGGAACACAATCTCAAAATGCCACAAAGATTTGAAAACAGAATTACAAAGATAGATTGATAAATATTGAAGCTTTTCAAACAACAAGGACCTCGAGGACAAAACATATGGAAAATAGAGGAAAGTCGAACCAAGTAAGATTTTAAAACAATCTCAGATTCTCAACTAATCTTAAAAAATGTCAAGATAAGTTCATAACTCTTAATTCTCATTACCAAACATTAAAAAAATACAAAAGATCAATCCAATTCTAAAGCGATAAAGGGAAGAACTTTCTTCTAAGAAGGCACTCAGAAACAGATCCCGCTTACAGATCAAGCTAAGACGGATCAGATCACACAAGAAAAAACCAATAAAGATCTATCATTTCTGCGGATTCAACAATGAAACAACAATCCCAAAGCACAAACAAAATCAAACGGAATTTAAAACTGCAAATAGAACACTTAACAACAAAACAAACCAAAATTCAGCTCTAAACAAAATTGAAACGAAACCGTAAACAAAAAAACAATTCTCAAAATTGAATACAGACAGTAACATACACTGTAGATCTGAAGAGCGAAGGGAAAAAAAATGAAAAAAGAACAGAGATAGTCAACAAAATCTTCAGATCCAAAAAAGTGTGAAATGAAGTAAAATTCGTGGTTTTACCTTTCACAAATCAAAAGGGTTTTGAAAATGCGAAAGGATGGGAGAGAGAAAAACACGAAGAGATTTGTGTGGAGGCGCGCTTCGAAAAGTGCTTAAGTCGGCTCTTTTTATATGCGATGCGACCGTCGTTCGTAGTGGTGCATGTGGGTGGGTCCGAATATACGCTTGTCTCGTCGTGGTTCGTCCACGTCAGATTTGGTCTTTTCTTTGGGGTGCGTGCTCAAATCACCGTCCAAACAGTCATTGCCCCATGGAAGTTTCCGAAGTCCAAAGGCGACAACAACTGAATAGAAAGGTCCAAGGTTGTATTTCCAAAAAAAAAAAAGTCCAAGGTTGATCTATTGGAGGCTGTCTTTGTTTTCCTATTTTTTCTCACCAATACATTATGGACATTTTCTCCAATTACATCATAATTCAATTTTTATGTTGTAATCTTTCGATTTACGTATAAATTTTTTATTTTTAATAAATATGGAATTTACAACTAGTTGAATCACAACACGAGAATTCAATTCTCATGCAACATGAGAAAATCAAACCCCATATATTATTAGGAAAAAATGTGTATTGTTTTAAAGTACACACACTTATATTCTTTTAAGAAGGAACAAACTATGAAAAAGAGAAAGTGGAGGAAAAAATTTGTAATTTAAAATTTAGAAAAACACACTACGTTCATCTAGGGTGTGCATGACAACCTTCTCGGAATCAATTTTTTTTTTAATTTCTGTTCCCGAGAACAGAAATGGATAGAAAACTCGTTTGGTAAAATCAGTTTATTTTTTTGTTCCCGGCATGAACCGGTTTAATTTTTGTGCTGGGGAACAGAAAAAAGAATTAAAAAAATTCTGTTTTTTTATTCCGGGCACAAAATGAGACACTTATTTCTTATAATCACTCTTCATCACTATCATCATTATCACCACCACCATCATCCCGACATGACCATCGCCACCATCATTGCCACCGCCGTTGTACCATCAATGTCGTCGTCACAACCACCACCACCACCACCACCACGACGATGTCATCGCCACCACCTCCACCATGCCACCGTCATCACCACCATTACCACCGCCGCCACCACCACCATGTCACCAACCACCACTATCATTGCCGCAACCACTGCCAACACCATCACCATCGCCACAACCACTACCGTCACCAACCACCACCACCATCGCCACATCCACTACCGTCATCACCTCCGCCACCAACCACCACCACCATCGTCGCAGCAATTGCCATCACCACCACCGCCACCACTACCACCACCACCACCATTACCACCATCATTGTCGCAACCACTACCGTTACTACCAGCCCCACCACCACCACTGCCGCCATCACCACCACCATCGCCACCATTATCACCACCATGCCATCACGATTACCATCATCACGTCATTGCCATTGCCACACTGTCACCAACTATTACCATCGCCGCAGCCACTGCCGTCACCACCACCATCATGTCATCACCAACACCACCATGCCACCGCTACCACGCCACCAACCACCACCACCGCCACTATCACCATCACCACCACCACCATCGCCACCATTACCACCACCATCGTCGTAGCCACTGCCGTCAGTACCACCACTACCGTCGTCGCCGCCACCACCACCATATGGAAAGGAAAGTGATGATCCAAAAAAAAATTTATGCTTAATAGGAATTATTTTTTATTAAATTATTTGGCGTGTTATCAAACGCCATTCTCATTTTCAGAATAAAAATAAAACATATTATCAAACATATTTTTTATCTCATAAACTGTTCCAAGGCACAGAAATAGAAAAGAATTGTTTCTTGTGAGAAATATTGCTAGGGAACAGAATGATTGTCATGCACACCCCTAAAAGGACCGTCTTTTTAAATAACAAACAATAAATCTGTACCGTAGGGATCTATAAGCCCACTATGTTCCCTTCAGGGATGAGTCACTGTATGGATAATACCCTTAGCACAGGTACAGACCAAGCTAAGAGGTATTTTGCCCAGTATAACAAGCAATCAACAATGGATAAGTAAGCAATAGTATGACTCAAAGTAAATAGGAAGTATAACGATACATAAGATCTCCCTTGGTGTGCCTAGGGGGGCTATTTATAGGGAGGTTGTATGAGCCTCCAACGGGTTGGCGAGGAGGGGGTCAACCCTTCTTGGGGTCTGCTCCTGATAGCAGATGTCGTAGGGGCGTGAAAGGCGCTGCTATGATAGCAGTGATGCGCCTGGTGGTGTCAGGTATGTCAAACGGGGGCAGTTCCCTTTAACGACATCTGGGGCGACTTCTTTGGGGGTTGGGGTCTCGAAACGGGACATTTATGTGCTTCCCCTAGGACGCGTCGCAATGTTAGGGGATGGGAGGGTCCACGTCAGCCCTTAGGGTTTAGGGTTTAGGGTTGGCTGACGTGGGCTGGAGCCTTGGACTGGGCCTGAGCCATTGGGCTGCTTAGGGGTTGGGCCATCCGGAACAGGAGCCCCCCAGCTTGGTAGCAATCGTAGGTTGGTGCCAAGTTACGGTCTTTGGGCGTCCCTTGGCTGTGTCACCGAGGTACCCTGTTTGGGCGTCATCCTGACTGGTATCGCCCAGGCAGAGGGTCTGGGCGTCACACTGACCGGTTCTGCCAAGGCAATGGTTTGGTACCCATCCTCTTACATTCCGCAAGGGTGTTTTGGGTCTTTTGTCTTTCTGACACGGGGGGTGTCTCTTCGAATTTTGAGGAGTCGTAATGATGGCTTTTTCCATCATTGCGATTAACTGTAGGACTCAAACGTTACGAGGAACGTCACATTAATGCGACGTGTCATCACGTGGCGCGGCGCATTAATGCGACGTGAAAGGTGTCTTATCCTTTTGAAATTACCATCAAACCCTTCACTGCAATCGCTGATCATCTGACGGTTATGATATCCTACGGTTGAAAGACCAAGAGGCTGTACATGTGTACACCATCTATGATTTCCTTCCTCTTTTAAAAAGGGGGCTTGTTCCCCCCTGAGGGCTTTCGTTACGCTATCTGCTGCTCTTCTTGTCTCTGCAAATTGCGTTATGCTCTCCTCTCTTTTCCCTAGTGCTCGTGCCGGTCCTCCTTTCCTCACTGTCTGCATTATCTCAGGTACAGTCCTCCTTCCTTTGCACTTCTTTTTGCTTCGCTTCTCTTCTTCTTTTTCCTGGGGATGGTTAAAGTAATGGACGTGCCTGGGTTGTTCTTACCTGAGTTGGAGGTTGAAGTTAAAGAGGAAGAATATGATGAAGCCTTCGACACACTCGAAGGCTGTACTGTGGGGCCAGCTATGCAGGAATATCTTGCTAAGCGTGGTGGGGAGGGTAATAGCTTTCCCTCCTATCGTTCTCTAGTTCCCGGAGTTGAGTCGTTACCTCACGGTAGTGTTCCTGAGCTTCTGGGTTTTATTGAGGAAGAGATTCAAAATCTCCTGCCAGAACGGGCTTTAGGGCCTGTGCTTCCTTATTTAGGTGAAGCGTCTGGCTCTCGTAGTCGCGGTGGGGGTCAGGTGTCGGGTGGTGAAGTCGTTTCTGGGTCTGGTAGGCGTCAGTGTGCCAGCTCCGGAGGGCGACGGTCAGGCGGTTCGAGTGAAGAGGTTAGGCCTCGCCCTTCACGCAGTCGCCATTCAAGGTCTTCCATTCGCTCTTGCGAACCAAGGGGGGTTCGCGTCGCCGTGTTTCGCGACGTTATGCCTTTGGAGCAGGGCGACTTGTCCGGCCTCTGTCTTCTATTAATCGTCTACCACAAAATCATCCCATAGAGTATTATTATAAACCTCGCCAACCGACTGTTGACTCTTCTATTGCTTTGAGTACCTCACGGGGCCATATTCCCAACATTTCCCAGTCCTTCCATCGCCGTAAATATGACGAATCTACAGATAACCAACTAGGTAGATACCACCCGAAAGATGGACGACTTGTGAAGTATGGCATGTGGGACGCCATATATGATGACCTGGGGCTTTATACAATACCGACTGCTTGGTGGCCTTCTTCCTTAAGCTACTCTGATTTCTATTCTTTGAGCTCTTTAGAAACTTCTGATTCTGACGGTAAGTTGTTTAAGTTATTTTGTCCTTTGGTTGCTGGTAGGGGGTATTGACGGTCACAGGAGTAAGGGTTGGGTGTTATGGAGGTTCAGCAGCTTTCCCCCATTATTGATCTCCTACTCGTCGGTTGGAACAGTGTTTGGCGATTGACTGTATGTTTGTCGCTCCCTTGTAGAATTTGAAGGCGATATCTTGACTTATGGCAGCTCCCCAGGAAGGCAATTGCATAGAGACGAGGAGTTGGGTAGACCCTTTGGTGGCGTCATCATCATCAAGTTACGCTTCTGGGGAGATTTTGAACCGCGATTATCATACGGAAACTAGCTTTGACATTACCCCAAATGGTGCATATGAGGCGAAGTGGCAAACTATCTCAGTTAGGAGCGATCAACGTGTTTGTGATACTCCTAACAGTGAATCCAGGTCTCGTTGGCGATTCACGGTATACAAAACTCATTTTACAGACCAGAAGGTACGGTTTCCTATATCAGAGTTTGAGATGAGGGTACTTGCTGATAGCGACACGACAAGTGCACCGATCGTGAAAGTAATAAAGTGTACCGGAGTACGAGATCGTTCCCACGAGGATAAGAATTTCAAACACTAGTTCACTAATTGCGTTTTAGTTGGACAATCAAAGGTTTGGTTTGAGAGAATGGTGAATTTAGATGAAGAGAATTGTTGTTCAAAGAACTTAAAATTAAAAACAATTAAGAACATGCAATTATGAAATTTCAGAATTAAAAAGAATGAACGAGATGATGTTTGATTGAATTTAAAGAAAGCGTAGTTAAGGTTTCGACTTCCCCCAATATCCTCAATATGTTATGAATTAAAAAGCCAAGAATCTGTTTCTTAATATATTGCCAATCAATTCTATCTGAGTTAATTACGGCTCAATTCCTTGTTACCATAAATCTATGTAATCTTGAAAGAACTCTAGTTCCCCGATTATTCCCCAAGAAAACATGCATTAAGATCAAGAATTTCAAGATTGC